GTTTATGTTTCTATTGCAGTTGTACTTTTGAGTTTATTGTGCCGAATAAACTGTGGGGTCATCAGCGTGAACTTTATACGTTGTCCGTAGTATAAAGGAAAACATTGACAAACATGCAAGCAAAAACAAGCATGTCTGTACAGTACTACTGCCAGTCGAGAAGTGATTAACGAGTGCAAATTTGGACAGGGTGCTGGTTACAATAGGGGTAGTATTGTGTTTTATTGTTGGAGAGCTACTGCATAACAATTTACATGTGGAGGTGGAAGATTAGTGGCGAGCATAAAAAATTTGCACTGATAGAGAGCAGTACTAATCGAGAAAAGCTATTTTGTGAATGGAGGTAATATATTGTATCAGAAATCCCTTTCTACTTTACTCAAGCAGTCCACACGTGACACCCCACTAAATATATAATTATAATACATAGATATACACATACACCACTAGGAAAGTGCTAAGTGGTCTTACAGAAACACCCCATCTCAACTGTGAGCATTATATAGTTACTGCATTTAGTGCAGATTTGAGAAAAAGCATACCTGAACAGACAACACCTGCCACTAGGTGGGATCCAGAGGAAGAAACAACCAGATCTTGCAAATAATGAGTAACAAAGGTATTGGGAGTTGTCCACATACCAGCTTGGATGATTTCTTCCACGGGGAGGCGAAGGCAAGCAGTTAAAGACATGGTAATGTGATAATGTGAAGAGACATTGTGGAGATGGCAACCTTCCATGGACAAGTCTGAATACACCATCCTGACGAGTTGACAAACCCAACCAGTGAGAATTACTGGAGTCAGATCCTGGGAAACAGAAAGGTTCCAAAGAATAAATAGTCAAGAACGTGAACCCTGAAAGGAGGCAGTATGAGGCACATAACACCTCAAGGATTGAACTGGACAAAAAAACCTATCCGGATCAGAATGGGAGTACAAGTGGGAAATCGAAGGTAAAGAAATGGGTGAGAAAAACAAACCATCTTCTTAGGATGCATAAGTCTTATATAGAAAGGATCAGTCAGGGTAATGGATCACACAAGAGATACATTAATGGCATAAATATTGGAACAGTGATGTCCAGAAGCAAGGAGTAGAAGGAAATATGTCTTAAAGGAAAGATGGTACAAGGAACATGTAGCAAGTGGTTCAAAGGGAGACCAAGAAAGGGCATAAAGGACCATATTAAGATCCCAATACGGTACAACAAAGGGATGTGGAGGACAAGCAGTATGGAAGGAATGGAAAAGGAGGGAAATGACAGGGGAGGAGAAAACGTTATGGAACCAGGAAAAAAGGGAAGATGATCAATAGGGCCACCAAATAACTACACACAGTCAAAACAAACAAGCTCTGATCAAACAATTAGGTGAGCAATTGGGAAAGCTGAGGAACAGAAGGACAGGAGGGACAGAAACCATGGCAATGAGACCAACATCAGAAGGTAGACCAACACTGTTAGTAAATGGTAAAGGAAGAAAGTCTGATGGTTCAGGAAAGAAAAAATGCTACAAAAGGAGTCAGTCCCTGGGCTGAGGCAAGGGACCGAACAAAAGCCAAGCACGAAAAAAAGTTTGGTGACATCTGGATGAACTACATCCGTACTAGGTTAATGGAAGAGAGGCCAAGACAGAGGTAAGGGCAGGGGATGTAGCACAAGCAAAGGACAAAGCAGAGGGAACCAAGGCTGTGTAGGCCAATACAGGACTAGACAAGGAGTGGTCTGGATGAGGGATAGAACTTTGGATAGGAGTCAGATCGGAGGGTGAGCATAGATGTGAAGATCCTTCCAATCCAGACTGAATAAATCTACACCTAAAGCTGATGGGTGTAGAATGTGAGACCAAAAGGAAGTTTGTTGTCCCAGTGTGTGGCAAAGACATCAATAAGATGTTCCAATTGAGAACACA